GTGTTACAATAAGACTAATAAAAGTTTAAAAATAAATATATTTTTTACAGACATATCACATAAGAGGCAAGACAAATATATAAATATAAATATATATATTTACCTGGATCAAACTTCTCGTCGTTTACTTCACAACCTTTTGCGGCAATTGGCTTCCCAAAGACTCCTCCTTTTGTCTTATAAATGGGCAACTCGACATTCATGATTTTATCCATCAAATCAAAGTTACCATGACAAATGACATCAAGACAATCAAGAACTCCATCCGAAACAACTTGATCTAGTATGAGATTCGGGTCCTTATAATGATAATAAGGATTTAGTAGATATGCCATCAAGTGCAACGGGGTGTCCAATCTACCCATCATCTTCGTGTCAATGATTTCTAAGATGGGATCATAGTTCTTAGCAAGATTATTCAAGACACTTTTTATATCTTCTTTAGCATGCATAAGCTCCCCATACAAAAATCTCATTGACGGCTTCTTATCGACGTCCGCTATGCGAAGCACCTTCACCAAAGGAGCAAAAATAGTCAAGAAAGAAGTATGCCATTCCAAAAACTAATAGACATCACGGTGTTGTAACTTGCTTTCCCCTTGACCGTCATGGACCACTTGGACTAATCCCACTCGGAGCTAGTGAACATTGCACTTAATTGTGCCTTTTTTTCCATCAAGCTTTGCAAGCTAAGAAATGAAGAGGCGAATCGTGTGACTCCAGGTCTTACTATGTCCCTCCTTTTAGTGTAAGACCTTATAATGGATAAGGTCTTATGATGTGCATAAATGAATATATTCAATGCCTTTGCTTGTTCAATGGTTTTGGTGAACCGGGGTAGTTTTGCAATGCCCTCCAAGATAAGATTGATGGTGTGTGCGGCACATAAAGTCCAAAAGATAGTTGCCCTCTTTGTGTGCAATAACTTCGCCGCTCCCATATTATTTGAAGCATTATCCGTCACAACTTGAACAACATTCTCGGGCCCATCTTGCTCAATGCATTGATCCACATGCTCAAAAATCATTTCACTTGTGTGAGATATAAGATTCCTTGGAAGATAGAAATATCGTTCCAATTTTAGAATTCACACACAAATTTATGATGCTTCTTCTTTTTCTATCACTCCAAGCATCCGTCATAATCGAGCAACCACTCTTCTTCCATTCATCTTCATGAGGCTTCACCTTGAGTTTTGTTCTCTCAACCGCTTTCTTCAACAATGGCTCTCTCATCTCGTACGAACTAGGAGGCTTCCACCTCGGCCCAAATTGACCGAGCGCTTCGCTAAAGAGCCGAAAGCTATCAAGCTCAAGTGCATTGAATGATATGCCCGCTTCATAAGCCCAATCGACGAAATAATCTTTCACCAAGTTGGATCGTTCTTTCCAAATAGCATCATTAATGTTTTGTTCCCGCATCGTATTTGCCACGTTCAATGATGCTTCCGGGTTGATTGTTGTAGAAAATCTATCCATTGGGCCAAGAGAGTGAGATTCTTTTGCTTTTTCGCCTTGTTGAGAGGACTCAACATTCAACCCTTTAATGTTAACCGAAGATAGCAACTCTTCTTGAACTTCTTTTGTCTTCATCTTCTTGGCTTTGGACTCATTGATGGCATTTTTACATTTAGCTTGATCTTCTTTTGTTGTTTTTTTACATGAAACAACATTCCCGAAAATTTGACCAATATGCTCTTTCAATCTACGTATACCACCCGACATAACTTTAGTACATAACACGCATTTCACTCTATCTTTGTTATATGGATCGGCTAGAACACCATAGTTCTAACCTATGTCATCCGACTTTCTTTTAAATACTTGAGAATCATTCTCGGCCTCTGTGGATGTCCGGGAATCACACGGAGTACTTTTTGATGCCGAACTACTAGCCATTGCAAAAAACCTAACAAAAAATAATGAATAATATTAATACATCAACAACATTGTCGCAAAAAAACACAATATACATGAATGTATATTCTTTTTTTTTTCAATTTTCGAATGTTACATACTTGAACTTTTACTAAGTTATCTCTTTGGAATTTTATCGAACACATTGTATACATCCTTATGGTTTAATCATTACACACCACAATGGTATTATAGCTAACCAATCAACACCAAATTTCATCAACTTCACATAAAAGATTCCAATAAATTTCAAGAAATCCTAAAATTAACAAAACCTAATTACAATTTACAACCAAGTGAACCAAGTCAAATGTCCAATAATTTCATATAAAAAGAAATTTTAAAAATACCTGAGGGAGGCTCGAGAGTCCACGTCGATGGAACTGGCTGACCGGCGGTGAGTCAGGTCGGCGATTCAGTTCGGCAGCACGTCGAGTAGGGTCGAGAGCCCAAGATGGCGAGAAGGTTTGAAGGTAGCTTCAGTTTTTTAGGTTCTGTGACTTCTCTGTTCAATTTTTTTCTATCCGACATTTTATTATACTTTCATTTTTTTTTTGGACTTAAATAAAACGACGTCGTTTTGCCTTAAGGCAAAAACGATGTCGTTTCGTTACAAAAAGGAGAAAAAAAAAATAGAACATGTAACTAATCCCGCCATTGCCGCCGAGAGCAACATGGTGCCGCCTAGACCGCCTGCGACGCCTAATCCCGCCATTGCCGCCTAACCCGCCGAGCCGCGTAGACCACTGAGAGCCGCCTAGCCCGCCAGGCCGATTTGGCCAAATCGTTGGCGGCGTACCGACGCCTAGCGCCTAGGCCGCCGCCTAGCCCGAGTTTTCGAACACTGAATTATATATAGGGTGGATAATCTTATTATAAACTAATCTATTTTGTTTATAAATAAACGAAAACCATATCCAGTTCATACTTAAAATCTAACTCAATTTTAGTTCAATCTCACTATTCTCAATGTTATTAATATAATTAAATAATATCAATTTATCAGTCTTACACATTACACCAATTTCAATTTATTATTCATTTACTCACATAATTTTAACCAGTCATCACTTTACATCATTCTCCTACTTTTATATCAAATCAATTTTAATTATTTTATTTTAAATATTATTTTAATATAAACTCAAATCCCACTAACAAGTAACTATACCGTTTTTTTTTTTAAATTAACTATGCTTACCAAAAAAAAATCTGTTTTAAGCGAATATATTTGTATCCATGCATGTCCATAATTATTTATAGCTCTTAGAGTTCAGTTATTGGCATTTTGACAAAATTTTAAGGTTTGCTTGTTCACAAATACATTGGTATTTGATTGATTTTCTCTCTTTCTTTCTTTCTTTATTTTTTTGTTTACCATGGTCTTTTTTTTATATAAAAAAAAAAATTGTATGGTTAATAGTTAGTGAATTTTAAGTTGTCTTCATCCCCCTTGAATTTCTTCCATGGACTCTTGTTCGTCTTCAGTAGGAGTTGGTCGTGAAACTCGATTGGTTCCCTCCTAGGCCAACACTTGGATCATTTCTCTTGGTGGGGTGACATACATCTTCTTTTCTTGATGCATTTCCGATGACTCGTGACCACCAAACAATGACAATTCTAACACAGGAATCACAGGTTTTGGAACCACAGGAGGTTCTCATGTCCATCCACATCTCTATGAACTTATCACTCATACTCCTTTGTATACCTTATCTCTCAGCCATGTCAGGGTGACCATAAACTGGATAGAGAGCTATTAGCTCCTCAAAAAGCTCTCCACAGACGGCGCCACATGATGTGCCGGAGACCTCAAGTCTCTACCAAACTGGCAAATGAGAGTTGCGATCGCCGCTGGACCATTGAGACTTGCAAAAGGGTCGGACGAAGTTCTCCACATTAGCACTCTGATTCTGAAGTGAGTATCCAAAGATGAGAGATGCAAGCTTTGTAATCAGAAAGATGTAATATATATTAAGTGTAGAAAAAAGTTTGTAGTTGTACCTTCATACCCTTTTATTGGGAAATACTTGCCCTAACTTGTCTGCTCGAATTGCCTGCGGTCAGCCTGCTCGGCTTCCTGGTGTTTGATTCTTTCCTCATCATAATTATACTTGAGTCACTATTAGATTCGGTCTTATCACAGTCAAGTCTCTGTTTGATTATAGTTATCACGTTCAACTCCCTGCTAGTCGCTCTTATCTGGATAATGACCCATTGAGCAACTGTGTCGTAGTCTTCAGGTCGTGATGACCTCATTGAATGACCTTGAGTAATCTCCTGCTCTATAGATTGCTTCCATCAGGTCTTTGACCTAATGTCGACCTATGTGGCTCCTCTTGACTTATCGATTCCACTAAGTCTCTTCTCGACTTAATCATACTTGGGATCCAGTTCATTAATATGGTTATATCAAAATTTTTTATTGTTTCTTTTATAAACTATAATAACTCTAAATGAATTTTATGTATTCAATTCATATGGGCATTAATTCGATGCGTCAATTTATGCGTTCTTTTTTTTTTATTTGTTTTGCAAATTTCTACAATTATGTTAAACCGTTCATTTTAAACTAGAGCGTAACTCGTGCGATGCGCAAACTATATTTATTTAGAAAATATTATATTATAATATCTATAATTAAATAATTTTTTTAAAATAAGCAGGGAAATTGTACAATAAGATAGTATTAGACAAATAAATAATCATATAATATAAAGACCTCATTGTACACAACATTATGAGTTTGATTATTGGGCAACTCGTCATTCTCACAACCAATATCTCCAACTCCCTTCTATTAGTTACAAGCGAAACAACAACTCGTTAAATTCTTCTAATTTTATTTATTTATTTTTTTTTTTTGGAAAATATGGTTTATCGCTAAGACTCTTTCATTGCGTATTTTTGCGTGTAGGGATGAGATTTATCTCATGGACGACATGCAGGGATTTTCTGTTTCACAGGATAAAGTGAAATAGGAATGTGGTTTATCTCATAGACGACATGCAGGGATTATAAGATAGATCTTATGCAACTAAAGAGTTTGTGGTGAATCAAATTCTTTAATCGTGACGTTTAAATTCTTTAATTGTGGTGAATATTTTTCAACGATTTTGAATGGCGTGTATTGAGTTAGATTTATGTCCGATTTGATAGGGGAATAGATGTGTATGAAACGAAAAGTGAATCTGTATTTTAGTCTTCCAGTTACTGTCATAGACGGAGGCACATGAGGCCCAAGGGGGCCTGTGGTCCCCCCTCATTTTTTTGTAAGAGTTATATATATATATATATATTATAAATAAAAAGAAAATATATATAAAAGAAAATACTATAAAAATATGTGTAAAAATTCAAATATATTTATAATATATTAATAAATAAAATTTACTTCTATGTTATTTCAATTTAAATTAACAATAATTTACAATATAATGATTTACTCTTTCGTTCTCTTAATTGTAAATCGATTGAGTGATATAAAACCGAGTATTTAGTTGGATTGTTACATTTTCTAATTTTATTTTTTTATTATTTTTTTAATCACATATTTTTTACTTTATTTATTTTTTTCCTTAATAAATGTTTTATTTGGTATGCTCTGATCATCAACAGAAATGGTATGCAATGTGCTGCAAAAGTTTTATTTAAATCATTTTTCAACCAAAAAACATATTTTTTCATAATATATAAATACCCGAAATCTCATTTTTATTAAAAAAAAGTTTGACGGTGATGCAAACTCCAAATTTGTAGAAACTTAACGGTACACATATCGATATTTATAGTAAATACATTATTGTATGAAATGAGCGTTTCGACTTAAACTACAAGTTCATTATTTAAACATTAAAAAATGGGCCCCCCAAAGTGAAATTCCTGGATCCGTCATTGGTTACTGTTGACTGAAAATATTAAAAGATCTTTCCAAAAGTAGTGTGCAATATATCTTGTCTGAATTTATTTGTACCTATTTTTGTTAATTGTAAATCTCTTTATATATATATATATATATAGGGTTAGGATCATATGAGAATGATACTCTAGGAAAGAAATAAGAATAAATCTGGTGCATTAGACACACCATATCAATGGTTAAGATGAAGTCAAAATATGGTCAATCATTAATGGTATTGTGGTAATTATTTGATCATGGTATGTCAAATATGTGCATTTGACCAATAATTAAGGGTAATATAGACATTTAATTTAACCCTATCATCATATGGGACCCACCATTACCACATTAATTCCTCCACAAATTCGTACCTACCCACCTATCCTCCCTCCCTCATTCTCTTACACACACAAACACACACACAAATTACAGAAGACACACACACTCACGCACTGTAAAGTGCCGAACCACCAGGAGCCGCCGCCCCACGCCGCCGCGTCTGCAGCCAACTCGCATCCGCCTTCCGCCACCAGTCCGCCACTTCGACTCGACCGTCTGACCATCGCACCCTCATCTAGCCTCAGCCGTTTTCCACCGTCCTTCAACAGACCACCATCTCGCATCCGCCTTCCACCACCAATCCGCCGCTCAGCCTCAGTCGTACGCCACCACAGCTTCTCCTCGCCACCACCGTAACTGGTCAACGACATCTCGACAGGATTCACCAAAGAGGACGCAGGTTGCTGGCGGCGATAACCACTGCCGCCCGCCGCGC